ATGCATGCATGATGGATGGATGGATGGATGGATGGATGGATGGATGGATGGATGGATGGATTGATGAATGGATGGATGGGTGTGTGTATACGCATAAATACATGTGTGTACATGCATACAGGGCTTATACATACAGAGGTATGTCTGTATATATACATATACATATTCCATATATATATATATACGTCTGTGTGTGTACATATATCTACATATACATATAGAGCATGTGCATCTACATTATACGTATACAAAGACATACATATATACACATACATACATACCATTCCACTACATTAAACTACATTCCACTACATTACATTACATTACGCTACATTACATTATATTACATTATATTACATTATATTACATTATATTACACTATATTACATTATATGACATTATATTACGCCCTTGTGTGCATGCGTGGGTAGCTCTACGGTTCAACACCATCAAGCTGTCGATAACGGCATCTATTATGCTGACTGCTTCTCGTGCAAGAGCAATTGCTAACATTACTGTGCCCAACTCGCCCACTCGCCGAACAAAACGGATAACATGAACTACAGTAGCAAGGGGTCATTGGAAAGGAAATTTGAGGACAAATAGAAACCTAGTTTAAACTAACGAAACAATTCCTTCATCGTCGCATTGGGGTTTCGTGCCAAACCCTGCATACAACAGATGCAAAATGGCTTGAATGTCTCGAGCTGGGTGAAATGCTTCTCCCCATTGGCCCCAACACAAGAAAACAACAGTCTAGAAACTACGACATTGTGGTGTCATGTCATAAGATGTCATGCTGAAGACATGTTGCTCAAAACGGTCTCGTGAGCCTTGCCAAAGCCAGGGGTCGCCTGCCAGTCTTGAAGCTCTTGAAGACCTCGGAAGCTTTGAACTCGCCATGCTTGGCTCCTGTGACTGTGTCCTCCCCCCGGTTGCTGCGGCGTTGCTGCGTGCCCACGGCCAAAGTGTGCGGAGCGCAGTAGGAGTACTTTCGTCGTGGTGGTAGCGCTACAGCAGCAGCAACAGGAGTAGTTGGGGCAGCAGCTGTAGTAGTAGGGCAGCACTAGCAGCAGCTTCTTGCTTCAACTGCGATTTGTTCAACTTCACAGGCATGGAAGACATGGGTTTTGCCGGAGCCTCGGCCTGCAGTCTCAACTGCTCCGAGCCTCTGCCCGATGCCTTGTGACTCAGGGTATGTAGCCGTGTGTGGGGAAGGGAGCAGCTAGATGCAGAAACCACCACCATTTTGCCCACACCAGCAATCGAGAAGCCGGCTCTGACCTAGAAGTCCTCCAGAAGCTAGTTGCTGCTACATGGCAGCTGCACCTGCTCACTCCTCTTTGGCAGTCTTTTCCCAAGGCTTTTTGGGCCTCGAGACCTGGGATTCTTTCGGCTCGAGGGGCTTTGTGACTTTATCATCCACTTCCAGGATGCCAGGAAGTGTCCGTCCTTGGGCAACCATCTCCGAGACCTGTTGAAATGTCATGGACTCCGGGTCCAGGGCCAGGTCGGCAGCCTTTTGCACCTCTTGGAGGCTGCCTTGCAAGCTTGTTGTATCCTCGGGACCACGCCACTGGAGCACTGCACCGGTCTCAGACTCGCGCTCTTCGAACCCAGCCGCCTCAAAGACGAAGAGCAAATCCACGCCGACAGCACGTTCCAGCACATCTCTTCGCATGGAGTAGAGTTTCACGTTGGAGGTATCCTCTGACAACTTTCTGAGGATCTTCGCGGCATTGGCAAGTTCCTGCTGCTTGGGCCCTCCGTCGGCCTCTGCCTTGAGCTGTCGCAGCTTGGCACGCGTCGCAGCCTGTTCGTCTCCCTGGACCTCTGCTTTGTCTGCCGGAGTTGGATCTGCTTTCGGTGACACTTCGGCCTCACCCTTGCTGGGGGCCAGGACGCCCTGATCACCCGGTTTGGTGGAGGAGAGCTCTGCTGGCTGTTCCTGTGTCGCAGCGTATCCAGCGGACATGGCGATGGCCGAAGCTTACGGAGACCGTGGCTGAAGGTGCGATGCATCCATGGGCTTCTCTTGCTCAGAGCTCGGTGGGTGTGGACAGGAGTCGCGATAATGTCAACTCTTGAGAAGCTGGAGCCTCCCAGCTCTGTCGGGGCAGGTATGAGTATGCTGGCAAACATGCCCATAACCAGATCATGACTCTTCATGTATGACAAGGAACGAGCGTCGGTGTACTGAGGCGCGTGCAGGGCAGGAGCACCTGCGCCACAATAGATTAATTAACCATGTAGCCCTCGACAGCCCTCGAGACGAAATCACAGCGCTCAACCGAACGGCAATCTCTCGAAAGTCCAGAAGTACGGCAATGAAGGCCTCGTGCATGTGTTGGGCGGCTCGTACAATTGCTGCCGGCTTCCGGCTGTCCTATAAACCCTAAACCCTGAAACTGCAAATCACCGAAGACCTTGCCCGTAGGTGCTGCGGTCTTAACTGTCAACCTAGGTATGACTGTCTATCTTTTCTCATGTGCGCAAATTTAAGGCTTTGCTCAAACGATAGTAAAGCCCGTATACTGGTGACGATGTAGCTATAAGTTGATTCGGCTTGTGTGTGTGTGTGTACACAAACTCTTTTGTTATATGCACACATACATGTCGGATGTGTGAAATATGTATAAGTAAACCAAATAAGTAGATAAACAAACTCAAAACCAACAATTGAATATACACCAATGAGAATAATAAGTGTGTGTGTGTGTATGTATACATACATATATGTATATATGTATGAAAGGATTGTAAAGGCATCAACGTGTAGTCTGTATATGTGCATGTGTATGTATATGTTTCCCCACAAACATACATCCTGTGTGAATGTGTGCTCGCGGGTGTATGTTTCTGTGGGTGTGGGTGGGTGTCTGTCTCTGCTTGTCTGTCTGTCTGTCGGTCGGTCTGTCTGTCTTTCTGTCTGTCTGTGTCTGCGTGGGCGGGCCTCTGTGTGTGTGTGTGTGCGCGCTGCTTTTCTCTGCGGCTTGACATACGTCTGCATGTCAACACCAATCGGCCTATCGTCTTATCGTTGAAAGTTCCGTGTGTCCGGATGGGTCGCTGCTGTAAGTACGCACCTTGTATATCTAGAGAAGCAGCTACACAGAAGCCACCTGCAACAGGTCCGTGCCTGGAACTCGGACGGTGGCAACAAGCAAAGCGCCCAAAGGTTTCGCTGAAACTCTGCCGAGAATTGGCGGGGGTCCTGCGCCACGCGAAACCACGAAGCCCGGCTCTTGTAGTGCATACACCAAAATCTCAATCCTATTGTCCTTGAAACCTTGGGTGCGTGTTCATCCACTTGGTGATCACCAAATGAAGCCCCTATGCAAGCAAGCAGAGACAAAATGTCGAATTGCAAAGCACTCCAAAAGCCCTCTGCAAGAGTAGAAATCTCTGAATACGGAGAAGCCCTAAACCTGAAAGAATCCACTGGCCACCCATCTGGATGACTTAAGGACGATGAACTTGCTGAATCAAAAAGCGGCTTACTCCGTCCCAACCCTACACACCCTGACGCCTGAAACCGACCTACTCCTAGAATGAACCATCAGCCCTCACAAATAACCTACACCTACAAACCCTAATTACGGCCGACGTTCAATCCAAAAACCCTAAAACCGCAAAGTCGCCTAGGAGTAAACGCTGCCATACAACCCTAGCGTGACATGCTGCCCCACAGCTGTAAAGAAGTGAACTGCGTTGGAGCTCAACACCCTCAGCAAATCGTCGGAATCCGAAGAAGTGAAGCCACCTCCACTTGAAAAGCTGCTACCACGCGAGCTACCATTGCCAGCTCCTGTCAGAGGCGCAGCATTTCGGCAAGCCTAAACGGTCAACTTGCGAAAGGCGGATCTGTTTCTGAAGTGAACTTAACATCTATCATATTCCTTTCTTAATTTTCGTATCCATCATAGTTATGTCTATCCTATTTCCCTCTGGTAAGGGTGCAAGACCTCGGGTTTGCTGATGGCGCGCGGCTTCAGGTTTCTTGTTGTTGGGCGGGCGGGTGGGTAAAGGAGCAGTTTTAGGGGGGGAGTGGGGTTTAGGGGTTAGGGTCTAGGGTTTAGGGTGAACTCAGTGCACTTATGAAGGGCCGTAGCAAGTCATGAGAACTGAGCGCGTGTTTTGTGTGTATTGTACTGCAAGACTATATACGGGTATATCAGTTTGTTGGAATAACTGTTGTGGTGCAGATGATCCTATGGGGACTATAATGCCATTACTATTCCTAATCCCGGCAAGTCTCGAGATGAAGCCGTTCTCCTCCCTTGCATGTTCCATGGTCACATTTCTGGATCGCATTGCATCTTGAAGTTTAAAGTTTAAGTGTGCTAAGCTCGCTGTTACTACATGTGTATCTACAACAGTCATTGTTCAGATGAGTAACCTGCTAGATGCAAAAGCAACTGCACCATGCCATCTTGGTGTAATGCACGTGCCTCTTTGCGGAAAGCAGGGCATGCTGATGCATGTTCATGTAAGTTTCATGTACATGTATGTATGATTATGTTCGTATTCTCCAACCCTGCAGGGTTGTTACCACGGAGACCGAACGCAACACGTCCATGTGTGCCTTGCCGAAAACAAGCTGTCCGACAGCCCAAGGCGAGCACTGAACACACCCCGACAGTAAGTTGTTTCCTTCGGCGGTGTCGCCAGATCGCGTGGGAGATCGGCCAAGAAATCGTAGATATCCTAGAGCGAAGGCTGGCGAGCATGATGAGGGATCTGGGCTACCCGTGACTCGTGTTGCACTCCGTGGTTTCCCCCAAAAAAATTCACGAGTTCAGCGCACTGAACCCCCAAGCACAAAGCAAAGGCTCTAGAATATCAGCCTGAAGCTATCCTGAAGGCTGTATCCTTTCAAGTCTGTTATCCTTGCTTAGCCGCGATTAGCCGGACATATGCACTGTCCTCAGTATACACGGCATCCTGCGTCATTAGGACCTAGAAGGGGGCTTAGGGTATTGGCAAATGTGGATTCTAGTATTCCAGGAGGGTCGCTATGGTTGCTTAGAGTTTAGAGGCAAATTTAGGAGTCCGCACATTGTCCAGGGTTGTTTTTTTACGGGGTACTCTGTAGCCCAAGGACCACATGACTCCTGCACTGCCCTGTGCAGCTCACGCAGGCTGTTGGAAACCTGCAGCGGATCGGGGTTTGGGGTTTGGACTCTCGAAACTCGGACTCTGCCGGCGAGGCTGTTCGGTGCGAAGGACGAGCTCATGGGCAGCCAGTCGGCAAGTTTGCCTTTTTTTGTTTGAGCCTCTTTTCCGTCTGCTAGGGAGCCTACGTAAGTCGTCAAGGAAGGAGGTTCAAAGGTCCAGGGTTCCATGGTTGTGCTCCCACAGTGTCGACAGGCACAAGGCGAGATGAGAGCATCTATGCAAGGCCACACAAACAATAAGGAGGGGAGGGGAATCCGGGAAAGACAAGACGTCTCCTATCAAAACAATTAGCCTCAAAGTCCTTTATACCCTTAAACATCGACCACAGGCTAGAAATTGTCAAGTGTGGAGTTACTGTAGGAGGGCAGGAAGCCAACAAGAACACAACAATCGACGTGCCGACGATTTTGCTGCCGGCGATGCATGCATTACCGTCCAGTCTGATAACGAGCACGCTGAGCTAAGCGCGTGCTTCAAATTGTCTGCTACCTGCTACCGGGCCATGCCATGAAGCACGGCGTCTTTGCTGAAAGAACAAGCCCTGGCTCCACCCGGAAATGATCGGATCGAGCTATCCAATCTCCTGATCTGGCTCGTAGCTTCCAGTGGGGCGGCAAACATCAAGCTACATGTCTCAGGTCCCACGCGGTTGACAGTTTCTAGTAAGCATGATGTTCGTCCTGAGTGACTGGCCACGAACGGTCTGACGGGCATCGTGTACAGAATGGGGAGAGCGTAAAAGCTTGCCGCACGACAACATCAAGCGGAATGCCGGCAAGACTCATCTGCGAAATTGAGACCACGACCAAGGGAAATGTAATTTGTATCGTTGTCTGACCGGGATGCTCACATTACACAGAGGTTAGACACTTCACAGGCCATAGCATGGTCTTCATCCATCAAGTCCTGCTACATGTGATCTCCTGACATGACATCTACGGACCACCGGATGCAAGCAAATCTTGCTGACATTGCATGGTATGCGATGCAGCACATTGGCACAGAAGCTACGCCCTACCTGCGG